GGGAAAATAAATAAACAAAGCTAATTGGCAATCATGTCTAGAAGAGTTAAAAATCGTGTTTGAAGGAATTTCAGGAGATTATGCCCAAGGATTTTACGAATCGATCCTGATATCAAGAGATATCCTTTTTCAAGGATTAGAATCTTACCTCACAAGCTTTTTCTCAAATTTAAAATTTTTATATCGAAGGGTCTTCACATCTATCTTCTCTATATGGGATCTTAAAACACCTCTGCACTAGACCTTTTCAAATGTAATGTATGCTATGCAATTCAATGCATGCTATGCAAATGCTGGCCAATTAATTCTCATTTAGTTGTAGTACTCAAGTTTCTCAGGCTTTTTTCTTAGGCCTCAAACCCTTTATTCTTCAAAGACCAAGTCAGCGTAACTCTCAATCATCTCTTTCATTTAATTCTTACATTTTTTCTGCAAGAAATCCCTTTCCAAATTTAATGTCTTTATCAGGAACTAAACATCTCAAATTTTTCTTTCTCACTCTCGATTTCTCCAATGTAATGTAGTAATCTTTCATGCTATTATTCATTTATCAATCATTATTTCAATCTCAAAAAGTAAGAATGCATTCACACATTTCTTCCATTGCAAGGTATTAAAGAGAAAAGAATAGGAATGGTTAAGAAATAATCAACAAAAGAGACACACAAAAAATGAAGTAGAATGTCTTTTATTGGCAAAACTGCTAGTAAACTTTAGCCAAGAAAGAATGACAAAGATAGGTATGGGGAAACAATGCCCAAAAATAAACAATCAGACAATCATGATAACACATCTCGAAGTTCTTTTCAAAAAAAACTCAAACCACCCAATGCCCTTAACAACTTAAAGCTCCTCAGAATATGCTAGCCTCCATGCCAATGAATTTCTAGATTTGATGCTGTATTCTCCTTATCTAAGCTACCTTTCTAAGTTTTCAACTTAGATAAACCTTCCTTTTGACTCAAACTACCCTTTTAGGGTTTTCTCCTTGAGTCTTCCTTTTTCATTTTTTTTCATTTTTTTTTTCATTTTTTTTCATTTTTTTTCATTTTTTTATTTTTTTCTCTTCTTTTTCTCTTTTTTTTTTTCAAGCATAGTACTTCTTAATAGCATCAAAATTTATAGGATGGGACAAATCATTTCCATCAATCTTAGTAGTATCAGTGCTTTACCCGAGAAAGCTCGTTTCACCATATATGGCTTTTCCCAATTCAGAGTCCATTTTTTTCTATTATCATGTTGATTTAGAAGAATTCTTTTTAATACCAACTCTTTTTCTCGAAAGCAATGAGGTCAAACTTTTTTGTCATGAGCCCCTTATCATTTTTCTTTGATATAGCTGACCATAGCACAATGTTATTAATCTCTTTTCTTCTATGACATTTAACTGTTCATAGTACTTTCGAATCCATTCAGCCTCTTTCAATTCAACTTCTTTTAGAACCCTCAAGGATGGGATCTCTACCTCTACTAGCAATATAGCTTCAATCCCATAAACTAAAAAAAAAGAAGTTGCCCTAGTAGAGGTGCACACTGACATTCGATATGCATGCAATGCAAATAGCAACTTCTCATGCCAATCTTTATAGGTCTCAGTCATCTTCATAAGAATTCTTTTTGTATTCTTGTTAGCTGCCTCAACTGTCCCATCCATTTTCGAACAGTATGGCATCGAATTATGATGCTTGATCTTGTATTGGGCACATATTTCTTGCATGATCTTACTATTTAGATTCTTGGCATTGTCTAAAATGATTCTCTCTGAAAGTTCATATCTGTAAATAGTCTTTCTTTTTATGAACTTGCAAACCACTGATCGTGCTACATTTGCAAATGATGCCGCCTCTACCCATTTCATGAAGTAATCTATCATCACAAAAATAAGCCTATGTCCATTAGAAGCTTTTGGGATAATCGAACTAATGACATTTATGCCCCATATCGAGAATGGTTAAGGTGGTGCCAGAACATGTAAAGCAAATGGCAGAGCATGGATCTTATCAGCATATATCTGGCATTTATGACATTTACAGGCATAGTCAATACAATCACTCTCTATTATCAACCAATAATACCCTACTCTTATGATCTATCTTGCCATCATATATCTACTGGCATATACTCCGCATATTCCATCATGCACCTATTCAATGATTTTTCTTGCCTCAGTCTTATTTACACATCTCAGCAATACTTGATCATGGCTCATTCTATATAGAACTTTCTCATTTAGGAAAAAGCTCATAGCTAATCTTCGGATAACCCTTTTATCATTCTCCGTTGCCTGAATTGGATATTGTTGATTCTTAATGTACTGTAATATATCATAAAACTAGGGCTTTCCATCTTCCTCTTTTTTTACATTGGAGTAAAAAATCGACATATCTTTGACATCTAACTTGATAGGTTGAATGTCAGTATTATCACTAACTCGAATTGTTATAGCTAAAGTAGCCAAGACATCGATAATCAGATTCTCCCCTCCAGAAAAATGATTAAACTAGGCATTTTCAAACTACTTAATCAACTCCAAAATATACTTATGATGTGGAATGAATTTTGAATCTCTCGTCTCTCATTCTCTTTTCAATTGATATATAACTAAAGTTGAGTCCCCAAACACTTTTAATGCTTTAACTTTTCTATCTATAGCAGCTAGTAAACCCATGACATATGCCTCATATTCAGTGATATTATTTGTGTAATTGAAATTTATCATCGCTGTTATATGATAGTATTGTTCTTTTGAAAAAATTAGAATTGCCCCAATTTCATGTCCCAAGGCAATGGTAGCTCCATCAAAATACATTTTCCAACACTTTTCTTCATGCTCCCCCTTCTCTAATTGGGAAACAGTCATCAAATCTTTATCGAAAAACTTCAATCTCATTGGTTCATATTCTTCAGTAGAATGATCTGCAAGAAACTCAGCCATAACACTCTCTTTTATTACCTTTTGGCTTGCATATATGATATCATATTTTGAAAGCATTACTTACCACCTAGCAATTCTCTCAAACAAAGAAGGCTTCTAAAAAATGTTTTTAATTAGATCTAGTTTTGTTATAGGCCAAGTGGTGTGATAGAGCATGTATTATCTGAGTCTTTTGGCAGTCCAAGCTAATGCACAACATATTTTTTACAAAAAGAAATACTTGGACTCATATTCAGTGAATTTTTTACTCAGATAATAAATAGCTCTCTTTTTTTTATCATATTCATCTTGTTACCTCAGCACACATCCCATTGAATTCTCACACACTATCAAATATAAAATTAAAGATTTCCCTGAAATAGGTGGCACCAACACTAGAGGATTTGATAAGTATTGCTTAATTTTATCAAAAGTCACTTGGCATTCCTAGTTTCATTCTCTAGGGTTATTCTTGCGGAGAAGCTCAAAAATGGGATCACATTTATAAATAAGCTGAGATATGAATCGTGAAATGTAGTTTAACCATCCCAGAAAACTTCAAACTTCTTTTGGTGTACTCAGAGGTGACAAACTTTGAATGGCCCGTATTTTGTCTAGATCAACTTTGATTCCTCTTTCACTAACCACAAAGCCTAACAACTTCTCTAACTTTTCTCCGAAAGTGCACTTGACTGGGTTCAACTTGAGTTGAAATTTTTTCAACCTCTTAAATAACTTTTTGAGGTTGGTGACATGATCTTTATTTTCACGAGATTTTGCAATCATATCATCTACATACACTTTAATATCTTTGTGCATCATGTTATGAAAGAGTGTCACCATGGCTCTTTGGTACGTTACCCTAGCATTCTTTAACCCAAAAAGTATAACTTTGTAGCAAAAGGTTCCTCACATGGTCATGAAAGTGGTTTTTTCTATATCATCTACAGTCATTTTTATCTGATTATACCTTGAGAACCCATCCATAAAGGAGAACATTGAATGCTTAGCCGTGTTATCTACCAGGGTGTCGATATGAGACAAAGAAAAATTATCCTTTGGGCTAACCCTATTCAAATCACGATAGTCTACACATATCTGTACCTTTCTATCTTTCTTAAAAATTGGTACTATATTGGCTACCCACTCTGGATACTTAGTCACTTGTAAGAAACCTACATCAAACTACTTATTCACCTCTTCTTTGATTTTTAACGACATTTCAGGCTTCATTCACCTTAGTTTTTGCTAGACTGGCTTACATTTTAGCTTCAGAGGTAGTCTATGCTCTACTATCTTTGAACTCAGCCCTAGTATATCCTAGTAAGACCAAGCAAACACATCTACGAATTCTCAAAGTAGATCTTTCAAATATTGCCTATCTATCGATAAAAGTGAAATGCCAATTCTGACCTCTTTCTTATTCTTCTCATCTTCTAGATTTACCAAGTTAGTTATCTCCTGATGAGGCTTAATTGGCTTACTTTCTTATTCAATCAATCTCATTAGGTTCAGAGGTATAACATACTCTTCATAATCATCTTTATTATCAAGTTCATTAATGTTAATTGAATTCTCAAAATTAACCTCTTGATCATTATTATAATTATCTTTTTGTTCATTTAAAGACCTAAAATTAAATGAAATGGGATACGTTGGCAAGATGTGTTTGGAAAAATAGAAAAATAGTAATAATGAAGGCACAAGAAGAAATGAATGAAAATGCATCCTTCCTAATCTTTATTAAAATAATAAAAGATAAATGGCCTAAACAAGAAAGATCACATCAATGCCTTGGGCAATAACTATTGAGATGTACAATTACATTGAATTAGTCTTAAGGGTAAAAGGTATTTCAATGGTACTCTAATTGTTTAGCCCATAATCTGGCGAAAAAAAGTGGACCCACCCTTCTTATTCAAACCCTATTTCATCTTTAATAGCATGGATGGTTAACTGGGTGAATACCTCTTCCATACTTTCTTCTGTATTTAGGTATATGAATCTTTCAAGCCTGAAAGTCTCGTACAAATATGGGATGATCATTAGTCTTACTATTTAACCTCTTGGTTTTCTCTTGATCTCCCATTTTACTGCTTTATAGCTTAGGCCTAGCCTTTCACTATTGGGGGCTCTCTTATTCCCTACAGTTTTTTACCTAGCCCTACTCCTAAATACCAACTTTTATTGATGACTTGACAAATCACTATCTTTGAAAAGGGTTGACTTTTAAATCTTTCACCCATAAAGTTGACTAACTCAAAAGATCGATAAGAGCATTCCACTGCTTCCTTAGTAGCTTCCACATATGAAGCATTTAATGGTTAAGTTACTAACATGTCTTCTTCTCTAAACACTACCACTAACTGGCCTTCATATTAAACTTAATTTTTTGGTGTAGGGTAGAAGGAACAGCCTCTAACATGTGAATCCATGGCCTTTCCAGCAGATAGCTATAAGATGAAAAAATGTCCATCACTTGAAACTTTACATTAAAAGTGCATAGTCTAATTTTTAAGGGCATCTTGATATCTTTTAAGACTTTTCATCTGGTCTTATCAAAAGCTCATACGACTATTTGACTATCTTTTATATGAGAGTAATCAATAGATAGCCTTGCCAAAGTTGACATAGGCATAACATTAATAGTGGAGCCATTATCAATAAAGACCTTGGCTATGATATAGCTCTTACACTTGACCATGATATGCAGAGCCTTGGCACTTCCCTTTCCCTATGGGGAAATCTCATTATCACTGAATGATATATAATTTGGCATGACCAGGTTTCTAGCTAAATGATTCACATATTCAATAGATACATTATGCGCCATATATACCTAGTTTAACACTTTCAACAAAGCATTTCGATGTGGTTTTGAGTTTAATAGTAATGATAATAATGAGATTTATGCTGACATTTTATTTAACTGTTCAACCACAGAATATTCACTGTGTTTTATCAGTTTTAGGAATTCATGAGCTTTTTTTTCTAACACTGACTTCGGATGATCCTCTTTAGGTTCCACTTCAGGGTTATTCTGTTCTTTCCCACTTTGGCTTTCTCTGTTCTAGCCTTTTCTAATATTTTTGGAGTGTAGCATCTTTCACTTCGGGTAATGCCTCCTACACTAGTTATATTAGAGGTGTTAGTCTTAGAAGCATTCTCTTCTTGCCCTTGAACTACTGTATCGCAACCATATTTTCACGGTACATTTTTATCATCTTTATATGAAAATGGAGTTGAAACTTTAAAAGTTATTGACCTGGGAATGAGTTTGTCTATGACTAACTTTAGCTTATTCCTATAGTGAATTATTATCGGCTTTAGAAACAGTTTTGCAAACTTATCAGTCATGGATACTTCAACACTCTTTGAATTTTCTCCCTTTTCATAGACTTTCATCTAGTATGAATCCAAGAGCTTTTGTACCTCTTGGTGAAACTGCTCACAAGTTTTGATAGAGTGACCAATTATCCCACTATGATATTTACAACTAGTGCCTGCTATATATGCCTCATGATAATAGTGTGAACTTATTAGTTGTATCATGTCAACTTTTCACAGAGCATCAAACAGCTGACTAAAAGGTGTATCAATATCTACCACTTTTCTCTTCAAATGATGCTCTTGTTTCTCACTAAAAGCATTCACATTGTGATTAGGCAAAAGATTACCACTAATGTTTGGTGTAGTTACCCCTCTTGTATCGAAGCTAATAATTCCATCTTTGATCAACCGTTGCATTTTATGTTTCAAGGCAATGTAATTTTCAGTGGAATAACCAGCAATCCTATAGTGATAGTCATAATGAACTATGGGATCATACCACTTAGGGGTAAGGTGGCTTGAGTGGCTCTAATTTGCTAGGAGTAATCAAATGACTGTTGTAAAGCTCATGATATAACTCTGTATAGGTCATGAGAATTAGATCAAACATAGGCTTTTTGCAAGTAGTTCGTTGCTCTCATGATCCACCTATTGGGCTAGCTGAATGGGTCTGAGGTCTTGAGGCAGGTTGAGCGTTAGGACTCTATGTGGTATTTTGAGGCCTAAAAGATGGTTGATATGTTAGAGATAAAATGATTGTGAGAATGGTTTGTAAGGGTAAGGGAAGTGTTATTCACAGTAAGATAATATGGAGGGTATCCTTGTGATGAGTAAGGTTGATAACCCCTGAATTGTTGCCTATCAAAGCTCACAGCTTGAGCTTTGATCTCTTTTTTCTTTAAAGCTCGTTTACTTGATGCCTCCTCTTTTTCTAATTTGCCATTCTTCATGGCACTCTCAATAATTTCTCTCGAACTCGTCATGTCAGCAAAATTCTTGATTGTATTCCCTACCATTTTTTCATAATAAAAAGATTTGAGAGTGCTAACGAATAGCACTGTAGTTTTCTTTTTAGTTAGAGGAAGTTGCACTTGAAAAGCTACATCCCTCCACCTCTGATCATATTCCTTAAAGGACTCATTTACCTTTTCTCCATGTTCTATAAAGATAAACGATTATGAGCCAAATCCATGATATGTCGATATTAACTAATAAAGTCATGGGCCATATCACTCTAAGAACGGATGTGAGTTCTATCCAGCTATACATACCACCAAGCAGCAGAGCTTGTAAGGCTATCTTGAAAAACATGCATTAATAGTTTTTCATTATGGGCATGGGCTGTCATCTTCCGATAGTACATGATGATATGAGTTTTTGGGCACTTTGTACCATTATATTTCTCAAATTCTAGTACTTTGAACTTTGTTGGAATGACCACATCTGAGACTAAGCACAACCTAGTAGCATCGACAAAACCACAATACCCAATTCCTTCTATAGCCCATAGCCTTTGTTCAAGCATACTAATCTTTGAATCTTCCTAAGATTTCACCACTTTTACCTTTTCTTTCTCCTTCTTTTTCAAGTCATTTAAATCAAAGACTTGGATTGGTTTTACTACCTTTTCAGTAAAGATCAGATTCATATAGCTATGGTAATGCCCGGAGTTTGAAGCTGATGGCATTCCG